AATTGTAGGAGTGTATAGCAAAGATTGTTTATCCATTTCCAGAGATCAGAAAGCTTTCTGAAAAAGTTTCTTTTCATCCCATTTTCGAAGGATAAGTAGGTGCAATAGAATGGTCTGGGGGGGGGACTGAAAGTCACAAGGTGTTGGAACAACTCAAAGATGACAAGTGTTGTCTAGCATTTAGAAAGTTATGAGCCATTAAAATGTTTTAACATTAATGTAGTACATTCAGATTTACATCATAAAAATTCTAAGTGAGGAATGGTGAGGGGAAGGGAAAGTGAGGAACTAAGTTCCCTGCTCTTAACTTATGTTGTGTAGTATTCTCCTGTTTCCAGCTGTGTTATAATTATTATCCCCATTTTACAGATGAGACTGGGACATGAAGAGCTTAGGTGAATTTCCCAGAGGGAATTTAGAAAAGTGAAGGGCGGGTTTAGGTGACTTGCCCAGAGGGAATTTAGAAAAGTGAAGGGGGGGGGGATGTGTTGGTAGTATGTCAGGACTTCAGTAATTGAGTAGGTGGGGGGAATGATTCCAGGATGACCCTGCTGACTTGAGTGAGTGTGAGTTTGTTAGTGTTTCTTCTTTGTGTTCTGTGATCAAGAACTCCAAAGGAGAAATCGTTTTTTTCAGATGGGAAGGGAAAATGAGTTCTTGTGAACCTACTGACTATATCAAGTGCCCCCCACATCTGTTAGGCTCCACTCTGCCACTTAGAAGCCATCTCACCTTGTTTACGTTAATTCACCTCTTTGAGTCTCAGTTTCACTTTCTGTAAGTGAGATGACAAAGAACTTCACCTCATAGGGTGGTTCTGAGAGTTAAATGTAATACAAGTTAGAAAGGGCTTTACGCTGAGTCCACCACATAGCAATGTTCAGTGAATGTAACTGAATGTAAGAGTTCTTTTACTCTCTCTCTTCTACTTTTCTTTGATGAAGACTGTGCTTTCTGTATCTGTTAATCTTCAAACTGCCCTTCCCTGCTTCTTCTGTCCAAAAAAAAAAAAACAAACACCATCTCCAGTATCCCCTTTTCTCTTTCCTAGTTGATTCTTCCCATAGTAGCCACATTATTTTATGCATGTTGCTGCTTTAGCCCTCAATACTTAGTTATATGCCTTATGCTAGAAAACATTTAAGTCATCTCGCCATATTGAAAAGATGAAAATTAAATGGGTAAGAAATGGCAAAAAGGCCATTGAGACTAAAATAAAACAAAGGGAAGTCACAAGTGGGGATAGTCATCAAAGTGCAAGAGGTAGAGTGTGGTCCATGCCTTAACAAAGCTGCAAGTGATTGTCTCTTCGAGCATAGGCCAGGAGGCAGGACCTGGCTGCTTCATGATCCAGTGTTCAGGAGATAGCCAGGACAAGAAGGGGTATGTCTGATATAAGCCCTAGGGAAAAGTTTATCTTTGGGCTTCTTATAAGGAAAAGCCAGTCATATACTTAATCTCTTTTCAGTCCTGAGAATCACGGAGCTGTTTCTTAGTACACCCTTTGCTAGATCAAAGAAGGCTGAATCACAATTTAGAAAGGCATTCTAAAACCAGTAGACATTGGTTTGGGTGGTTGGTGGGTAGCTCTGCTGCTCTGGTTTAGTTCACAGCGAAGGTTTTTTGGCTTGCTTCTTTTGAGACTATTAGACCATCAAGAAGAAAACAAGCTATAACTTTTTAAGACAATCTTCTCTCTCACTTTCTCTCTTTTTTTTAATTTGTCAGAGGGTGTGTGCATTCATGGAGAAAGAAAGGGGAGAAGGGAAAGTGAGAAAGCACGCCCATGGAGAATCATCGTACTGTATTTCCTTCTCCAGTTCTACTTCTTTGTGGGATTTGGGGCACATTATACACATACCTGGCATGTTTCTCAAGCCATGGGCTCAAGACTTTAACCACGTGGTGGGCCAAGTGGAATCTAGCCCTCTTAACCACCATGTTATGGGCTGACCCATTCAGGTAATTCTCTATGACAATTCTCTATAAACATGATTTTATTAAACTGAGTTTTTAAAAATAACTGAGCTAAAATGAGTGGTATATCTGATCAGGCAATGAAAATTTATTGCATACCTTCTGGGCACAGTGTGAGGTGTTGTTACAACTGTTACAGCAGTGAGCAATCACATGCAATCAAATAAAGATAATTTCTGAGAGGACTATAACTAAGTTCTAAAATTAAGTCCTGAGAATGAATCTGATGGAGTGATGAGAGAGTAATGGGGGAGGGTTGCTATATATTAGATTGAAATAGATTAGATTTAAATATGAACTTTCTGAAAGGTGACATTTAAAGTAAAACGTGAAGGGTCAACCTGTGGAGAACCCAAAATGTACCAAATGAAGGCAGCAACTACTGATAGGCCTGAAGTGAAAATAATCTTTGCAACCTTTGGGGGAAATAAGGAAGGCCAGGGGAGTTGAACCTGGGTGCACTGGAAAGGAATGTGATATGAAAATACCAGCAGGTGGCATAATGGGTGCATTACTGGACTGCCATGTAGTAGATTACAGTTCAAGTCCCAGACCCAATGGTTTAAACGCTGGGTGCGTGTGCATGCGTGCCCAAGATCCCAAGAGGAGAATGGAGGATAAGGGATTGCGGTGTGGCCATCCCCCCTAAGGGGGTGACATCTTTCTGTCTGTCTGTCTGTCTGTCTCTCTCTGTCTTTCTGGTGAGGGCACATGCCCTATAACAAAAACCTCTCCAAAAAATAAAAAAAGAAAGAAAGGGAGGAAGGAGATAAATAGTGCTCATGAAGAGCCTTGCAGGCCATGGAAGGGACACTGGATTATCCTTTGTGGGTACTTGGAAATGACTGAAGGGTTTTAAGCAGGAGCACTAGCAATACAGTTCATCTTAGACCCTACTGAGTTATGTAGAGAATGGATCCTTGGAAGGCAAGAACGGAGGCAGGGAGCCCCTTGCAAAGTAACCTGTGAGAGACAATGTGACTTTGGATTAGAGTGATGACCATGAAGACAGAAGTAGATACCTTTGATACCTCATTCATCCTCCAGAGAAGCTATCATAAAAATACCAGAACCTGTCCCTGGAGCTTAGATGAGGGCCAATATCCTACAATATATTCGAGGTGCCTAGATCACCATGCCCTCAAGTAACTCTTACATATGTGTCTGCATGTCCAGTTGAATTGGGAACTTTTGGAGAAGCCCTTTATTTTTCTATACCCAATGTGAGAAACTGGCCTGTCCAAGAAAGGAGGAGAGAGGCACTAAATTGCCATCTATAGATGGTGGACTAGTGATACAGTCACCAGCACTACTGAGAAAAATGGAGGTCCTAGGAAGTTAGCGGCTAGCAGTTACACAGCTAGTTAGTGGCAAAGCCATTCTCTCTCCTTCACTCGTTGCCACCCTAGCATTTTGGCTAGCTGAAAAACAGTTTAGATGTTGTCACTGTTAATTTAAACTATGTTAACAGTTTGTATTTGTATGTGTTAATTTAAAGGGTGTTAAACAGTGTTAGTACCCTGGTAGAAATAATTTCAAAAGCACTTTTTGCAGTACAGAGAACATTAGGTAGATACATTGGTATGCCAGAGCAACAGATGGGAGAGGAGAAGAGGGGGTGGGGGTGGGACGTGGCTCTATATTTCATTTAAGAGCTTGTTGGTTTTGACAGCAGCTTTTTGGTTTTATTAGAAAAGAGTAATGTATGGACGTCTGCTTGTTAAAACTTGAAATAATGGTTTTTAATATGCCTATGAACAAAATGACAATATTGGAACTGCATTATAACTTTCTAAAAATAGAATTGTCTGTATTTTCCTACAAATGCAGAGGTGACAGTACTCATCAATAAAAGGGAGTTAATAGTATACCTAGGGTGGTTTTAAGGATGCAGAGTGAAAAGATATATATAAAGCAATTTGAAGTTGAGTGACTGTTTCATTTATTGTCTAAACCAGGTCACTTTTAAGAATGAAAGGAAACAAATGGGTTGTGCAGTTGCCAGGCAGAAGTGTATAAACACCATGAGATTGTTTGCTGCTGCTATCATTCCTTTTCCAATTGCTGATTCAGTGTTAATTAGACACTTGTGGGCCAAGGGTTGGTTGGTTTGATTGCATTCGTAGAGTGGATTCTTCCATTTTGTTCTATCAACTGTGGCCCTGATCATCAGGAGTAACTGATGCAGTTCAGCCGTTAAGTAATGTGTCTTTAGCCAACATAAATGGTTGGAGTTTGAACCTTGACTTGACTAGCACCATACTGTGAACATTTAAACTAATGAGAGAGAGAAACAAAAGACCTCAATACTATTTTTTGTTTTTCTTTTTAAAATTTTGTATTCAATGTTGATTTGAGTAGTTTACTTTGGCATCAGCTATTTATTTCAACTGGTCCTAAGTATCTCAGGAGAGATTAATATTTACATAGGGAATCACACCATCTTATAGATTCTTCTTTCTACCCACCTTTTGTATGTCTTAATGTTATTGACCTTAAAGTTGTTTTAAAGGCTTCAACCTTCTTGAAAGGAAGGGCCAGGTGTTATTTTACCATAAAGAATCTAACACATTGGGCTATCTGTAATTCATGTAAATAACTCACGAATACTGTTAACCCCTAAATCTAACAGAAATCCGTACACACACTTATCTATCACCCTGGGTTTTGTTTTTGTTTTTGTTTTTGTTGGAGACGTTTTTTTGCTATAGAGCTTGTGCGCTCACCAGAAAGTGAGAGAGAGACAGACAAAAAGTGGGAAATTACCCCCCAGGGGGGATGGCCATGCCGTAGTCCCTTCTTCTCCATTCTCCTCTCAGTATCTTGGACACACACGCACATGCGCCTGGCATGAGTTTAAGCCACCAGGTCCAGGACTCAAACTGCGGTCGATTACATGGGTGTCCAGTGACATAGCCATTATGCTAACTGCTAGTCCCCACACCCTGTTTTTACATGACTTTATTCCCTGTCTTAGTCGTCTGAGTAGGTCAAGCCTAGCTAGTTTTTGTTTGTTTGTTAACACATCATAGATTTATTAAATATAATGGATTAGAACTATTTTTTAGAAATTTGGCCAGTATGTGCATGTGCATGCTAGAGAGAGAGGAGAAAGAGAAGGCATACGCCTCCCCCTCTACCCCCAGCAGGGTGTAGTCATGCCACAATCCCTTCTACTCCATTTCTCCATTTGGGGCACACCTGCACACTTGCCTGGTGTGGTTTTCAAGTTGTCAGGGCCAGGATTCAAACTGTGGTCATCCATGTGGGTTCTGGTTCCATTAACCACTAGGCCGTGGGGCCAGCTCTAGATTCTAATGTTCAATATGGAAAAAGTATTAAAAAAGAAAGTACCTCAGAATGACCAATGACCCAGTTATCCACTGTTAATGTTTTGAAAAAGAAAACAACACATGTCAGGAAATTGAAAGAAGGAATGCACAAAATGGCAAATGAAAGCTTTCCCTCCTTACCTTCCACTTCTAATCCCTCTCCCCAGAGCAAGTCACTATGAACTTTTTGTGCACCCTTCTAAATAGAATAATTTCTTGTGCCAACGAAAGGTAAAAAGCACCTTTTCTGGAGTCAGACCCCCTGAGTTTGAGTACACTTCTGTCCCTTACTTCCTGTGAGTTTAATTTTGGGCAAGTTGCCTTCAGTTTGTCAGTAAAAGTAGGGATAATAACATCTACTTTATAGGACAGTTTTAGCTATTAAGTGTTTATGTGTAGAAAATTATCTTAGAGCAATACTCAGTAATTTAGATTTTATATATTAGGGACTTTAAAAAGTTAATGGAAAATGGAATTGAAGTATAAATTTGTTTAGCTGTGAAAAATTTTTGAAATCCATGCCTATTTTTTTCATAATACGTGTTTTCTGTGAACTTTTAGAAGACTCCTCATATCTCTTAGCTAGTATGCTAGTAAATATGCTTGCTTCAAAATTTTATACAAATATTTAAACACTTATCTGTATTAGACTTCTATTATTATTGATACTGTTGGTTGTCAGAAAAGTCATGACATATTTTTTGTTTTTCTATGTAAACACGCATCATGACTATTTTGACAACCCAATATCTTGGAGCTCTTTTTCATATAGATGTATTTCATTCTTTTCCATCAGTGTGTAGTATTTTATTAACTTTTAAAACAAATTCCCTACTGAACATTTAGTTGATTTCTAGTTTTTATCAGTCTTGCAAGTAGTGTTACAATGGAGATATTTGTATAGATGCCTTTGTACACCAGTGGGAATATTCTAGGAGACAAAGAATAGATAGATAGATAGATAGATAGATAGATAGATAGATAGATAGGTACCTATATATATTCAGAGAATTTTTGGTATAAGGTGTGTGTGCTTGCCAGAGGGACAGAGACAGAAAGCGAGAAATCACCCTGCAGGGGGTATGGCCACAACACAGTCTTTTCTCCTCCATTCTCCTCTTGGGATCTTGGGCATGCACGCACATGCACCCAGCATGTTTTAAGCCACCAGGTCTGGAACTCAAACCGTGTTCCACTACATGGGAGTCCAGCGATATAGCCATTTCACCATCTGCTGGACCTAGGACATAAGTATTTTTAATTTTAATATATGTTGTTAAAAGGCCCTAGTGGCCTGCTGTTTTTTTCCACTGTAGTCTCGTCTCTATTAGTCCTTCCCATGGTTTTTAGTTTGCATCTAGCATGTTTAAGAACACCGTGAAAAAGCCCATAGTACATATAGGAGTCCTTGCTAAATTGCAGAGAAAGGAAAAGCTTACCCTCCTTGGTGGACTCAGGATTACTAGTTCCTAAAAGAAGATGAGACTGCAGTCCTCCATCAGAAGGTGCTGTGGGACCTGTCAGTTTGGGGAGATATATTTGACCTGTAGCTGAGCCCTAGGAAGAAGATATGTAACATTGAGACTGTTGCTACTGGTTGTCAAGCCTTGACTTGTTCCTAAAGTTTTGGGAGTTATCTTCCAGATTGTTTAG